CCGCCCCCGGCCTCGGCGGAGGGACGGACGGATGGATGGATGGGGCGGGGAGGCTGCCTGCCAAGCCCCGGGGAGTGCACGCCCAGCCCTCGTCAGGGGTGTCTCGCAGCCCCCGGGCCGGGCCCGGCCTCTTCCCCCTCCGCGGGTCTGCAGGGTGGGGAGGGAGCCCGGCGCCCGCGGGGCTGGGACAGGCCTGGCTTGCCTCCGAGCAGGGCACGGGCGGAGCTGGGGGTCCGAGTCCGCAGCATTTGGTTTCTTCTGGGAGGGGTTGCAGCAGCCTGGAAGCGCTCGCGGCGCGGCCCGATCTCCTCCGCAGCCACTTGGGGGAGTCTGGGAATCTCTACGGCTGGAAACAGGGCTCCCAAACTTGGAGGGAAGGGAGGTTGGCATGGGGGGATGTGCTTAAAAGAAAAAGAGCCGGACTCCCTTTAGGGTCCGCGGTTCCCTTAGAAATACAAATGAGAAAGACACCTGTCAAGTGCTTCCTTTAGACCAATACAGGTACAACCGGGATACCTAACACCAGTAGGAAAAGGCAATCAGGACTCGTAGCAGAGATGATCATCTTTTATTAGACCAACAAGATTTTTGCACACACACAAAAACATCTTTAGAGAAATTATTTAAAGACGTTTCTTTTAAAGTTTTTTTTTTTGAGGGGGGGGGAGGGAAATCTTGTTGGTCTAATAAAAGATATCTCTACTATGAGTCCTGATTGCCTCCTACCGTTGTTTGCATTTTCCTAAAGGTGGGTAGCTGTAGTAGCCTGGCAACAACTGCTTACTTAGATGTCTTAGTCTTTCATTTTTTTTTTTTTGGATCTGATCCCCACTTTCACTAATCCAGAGTTTCCATGGTCCAAAGCCTGGATTAGGGGTGCTCAGCCTCTGTCCCGCAAGCCAAATGTGGCCCACAGAGCCACATCTCCCTCGTGCAGCTCTCCACTAGTCAGGAAATTTGGGGGTGGGGGAGTGTAGTGGCCATTAATACCACCCTCCTCCCCTACTGCCAAATTGCCAAGCCCCAGCAGGA